GTAGATTCCTAGAGGGAAGCCAAACGGGAGCTAACTAGGTTTGGCTCCGGCACAGAACGAAGCAGCAGTCCCTTGCGAACCGAAGAGCCAAGAGTGGATGGAGGAGGCTCAGTCCTGAGATCGGCGCCAGCCCAGCCGGTCTGGCGCGGGGCCTACAGGGAGGGCAGGCAGGTGTACCAGATCTGCCCGGGGCCTTCCCCGGCGAAGGGCTTAGGCTCTGGCCTGCCAACAAAGCCTGGTTCGGCCCCGCGGAACCAGAACCCAATCCAGTCAGGAGCCTTCACCAGGGTCATAGGCCAGTGACTAAGCCAAGCCTGGGCCTCCCATCGGGGCCGGACTAGAACTAGGCCCCGGGGAGGCCCCTAGTCCACCAGACCCTTTCTTCAAGCCAACACTCGCTGGGAAGATGCAACGCGCCCTGCCAGGTGCCCGCCAGCACTTGGGAGCCATTCTGGCCAGTGCTAGTGTGGTAGTGAAGGCGCTGTGCGCAGCTGTACTTTTCCTATACCTGCTCTCCTTCGCGGTAGACACGGGATGCCTGGCGGTTACCCCAGGCTATCTCTTTCCGCCCAACTTCTGGATCTGGACTCTGGCCACCCATGGGCTGATGGAACAGCACGTATGGGACGTAGCCATCAGCCTGGCCACAGTGGTGGTAGCGGGGCGTTTGCTGGAGCCCCTCTGGGGGGCCTTGGAGCTGCTCATCTTCTTCTTAGTGGTGAATGTGTCTGTGGGGCTGCTGGGGGCCTTTGCCTACCTCCTCACCTACATGGCTTCCTTCAACTTGGTGTACCTATTCACTGTCCGTATCCATGGAGCCTTGGGCTTCCTAGGTGGTGTCCTGGTGGCACTTAAGCAAACTATGGGGGACTGTGTGGTCCTGCGAGTGCCCCAGGTGCGCGTCAGTGTAGTGCCCATGCTGCTGTTGGCACTGTTGCTGTTGCTGCGCCTTGCCACACTGCTCCAGAGCCCAGCATTGGCTTCATATGGCTTCGGGCTGCTCTCCAGTTGGGTGTATCTTCGCTTCTACCAGCGCCATAGCCGGGGCCGAGGGGACATGGCTGACCACTTTGCTTTCGCCACTTTTTTCCCTGAGATCCTGCAACCTGTGGTCGGGCTGTTGGCAAACTTGGTTCATGGCCTCCTGGTGAAGGTAAAGATATGCCAGAAGACAGTGAAGCGCTATGATGTGGGTGCCCCATCCTCCATCACCATCAGCCTCCCAGGCACAGACCCCCAAGATGCAGAGCGGAGAAGGTACTGTGAAATCTTCCAAATCTTGGCAAGCTAGTATTGGTCAAGTCACATGCCTTCTATTGATGTGTTTGCTGTACATAGGGTGGAGACCTAGAGTTAGGTGTTGGGGCAGATTCAGAAAGGGGTAAAATTCATTCTTTGGCATTGAAGAATTCAGCATTTAAGTATGTGTGCTCCAGGAGGTGCTTTTCTCACCCTTGGGCCATTTAATGAGTCTCAAGAAATGCAGTTTCCTTTTGTGCTGTATGAGGGGTCAATGGAGGTACACATAACCTGGGTCTTGCCTCAGAACCTCCTAGACTCTGGTCCTGTGGGAGCTACAAAACTTGCTGGTCCTTTGTTCCCTATGAAGACTGGGAAGAAGGTATGGGATACTTAAAAGGTGGTCTGGGCCACTCATTAATTTCCAAATTCTAAACTTATGTTCTCTTTCTGGGCCGTAATTCAGATCCTGTGCTTCTCTGCAACTTATTTACTTATTGAAAGGGAAGCTTGGGGTATTACCAGATTTACCCACCAGCAGGTATGTGTCACCAAAATCAGAGACAGGCTACATGACCCACCAGGGGAGCCTGCTGACCACACCAGAGAGTGGAAGCTGACCTTTCATCATCTGTAAACCAAGCCATCTGCAGCATCAGGAGTCCTGGCTGAATTATTCACTGGATGCACTTTGGCCAGGGCAGGACAGATCTTTTTTAATTCAACTCTTTCTCTGCTAGAACTGTGAACTCACCCAAGTGGTCCCAGCTTCTACAAGATCCACAGCTCCAATTCCAACATTATCCTAGAGTTTTGTTTTTTTTGTTTTGTGGCGGGGGCCAGAGTCTCACTTTGTCACCCTTGGTAGAGTGCAGTGGCATTATAGCTCACAGCAACCTCAAACTCTTGGGCTCAAGCATTCCGCTTGCCTCAGCCTCCCAAGTAGCTGGGACTGCATGCTGCCACAACGCCCAGCTATTTTTAAAAGATGGGGTCTCGCTTTTGCTAAGACTCACCTCAAGCTCCTGAGCTTAAGCAATTCCCCTACCTCTGCCCCCCAGAGTGCTAGGATTACAGGTGTGAGCCACCATACCTGGCCCTATCTTTGAGTTTTTTGAGGCAATTACTTGAGTAGTGAAATTTAGGGCAGGCTTTGTTCCTTTGCATTTGTCAAGGCTCCTGCTTTTACTTACCTGTGAAATGGGTTCTTGGCAGGAAGCTTTATGAATTCAGCTGTAGTGTTACCTGCTTACTCTCAATTGAGCTGTGGAATTGAGTGTGGGACACATCCCTTTTTCAAAGGAGTTTCTAGCTGGGGAAAGGCCACAGCTTACCATGATCCAAGGTGCTAGGTGTCTAAAAGTACATACAGCCTGCTACAGGGTATAATGCTGGGCCCTACAGCTTGAGTCTTTATAAGTTTTAAAGACAGATGTCTGATCTTAACCTGATTCAATAGAAGAGACAGGGCCAGGAGAGCTGGGAACTGACCTGTCCTTAGCGTTGTTCAGAGGTGGAGCCAGGTCATTGGTGACACCTTCCAGTGAAAAGTCTTGGATTGTTAAGGTTGGCTGGACATTGAGAAAACCTTTGCCCAGGCCCAAGTAAATGGATGGGAGGCAGGGAAATCAAAAGGTGGGTTCTTGGCAGAGCCTCAGTATGATTGGCTTACATGGAGGTGGGGGTTATATCTCCAGTCACTTTAACATCTAATTACTTGCCACTTCAATTCCAAAGGGCTACTAGTAGAAGGAGACAGGGTTTCCTGTTTGGCTTTTTGGCTCTTGTGAGAGGAAGTGACTAGCATGACACCTCTTTACCTTGGCAGACTTTTTTTTTTTGAGATGGAGCCTCAAGCTATCCCCCTGGGTAGAGTGCCATGGCATCACCCTCACAGCAACCGCCAACTCCTGGGCTCAAGCGAGTCTCCTGTCTCAGCCTCCCAAGCAGCTGGGACCACAGGCACCCGCCACAACACCCAGCCATTTTTTGGTTGCAGCCATCATTGTTGTTTGGCGGGCCTGGGCCGGGGATTCGAACCTGCCACCTTAGGTGTATGTGGCTGGCGCCTTAGCCGCTTGAACCATAGGCGCCGAGCCTGCCTTGGCAGACTTTAGACAGAACTGGCAAGGGTATCTTTAGGAGCCTGGGTAGCAGCAGGGAAGGACTGTCCTGTCTATACCAACTTGTCATGTGCTAGGTTGGCAGACTAATGGAAGTGTGCTTGGAGTTTTCACTGCCTATGTCCTTGGTTCCTCTCCTGTCATGTTCCTGACATAGTGATTTTGTTTCTCTGCTGGAACCTGAACAGCTGGCTACACAAACTGTCCCGACATTAGTGGCATAGGGAAGCTGAGGCATCAGGAGGCCACAGTGCTGGGTGTGTTGGCTCATACCTGTAATTCTAGCACTCTGGGAGGCCAAGGCAGGTGGATTGCTTGAGCTCAGGAGTTCAAGAGCAGCCTGAGCAAGAGCAAGACCCTGTCTCTAAAAAAATAGCCAGGCATTGTGGCAGGCACCTATAGTCCCAGCTACTCCGGAAGTTGAGTCAAGTAAATCACTTGAACCCAGGAGTTTTAGGTTGCTGTGAGCTGTGACACCCCAGCACTCTATCCAGGGCAACAAAGTAAAACACTGTCTCAAAAAAAATAAAATTAAATAAAAAATAAAAAAATATTTTAAAAAAGGAGCCCACAGTGGCCACTAATGGAAGTATTACCTGGCAATGTGGGCCAGGGTCCCAGGTTTATGTATATACCTTCTACTGGGCTTTCCCATCTTCCCAAAGTGGGGCTTCCAAGGATCTGCTGTACGGTACCAGTAGACTCTGGCCTATGCCATACTCATGTGAGCTGTTTCTTCTTTCTCTTCCTGCAAAGATTCCACTAAGTTCCCGCTCTAACACAGGTCTTCGTGGCTTTGGGGATTCTTCTGGGAAGGAAAATATTACAGTAGAAGAGGGCTGACCCAAGTTGATCCTGCTTTCTGGAAGTGCTAAGTTCCAGCCTTCCCCATAAACCTTGCCAGGAGGCTCAAGACAGTCCCCTAACCATGAGAGAGGGAGAATTAACCTCTCCTTGGATGTGATACCAGTGCCAGGGACAAGCTCACATCTCCAGGGACTTGGCAGTTCTACTTATCTGCCGAGAACCCTTCCTGATAACTGGCCTGGTGGGCAATATGACAGACACCTAGCTGGCCTTCTCAGCCTGGAGGTGCCTGAGCAATGGAAGGAAGACTCTGTAGCCTTGGAGTTCTCATTCTGATGGCAGAGGGGGCCCTAATCTAACCTCTGGAGAGCCCCAGGTCCTGCAGGGAGAAGGGAAAACATGGGATTTTGGAGAAGTCTAAGTGATATGGGGAGGAGTCAACCTGTTGTAGAAGGGTACAAGGAATAAGCCAAGCCCAAACCCAGAGTGACCTGTCCTCTCTTTCACCCCAGGCAATTGGCCTTGAAGGCCCTCAATGAGCGACTGAAAAGAGTGGAGGACCAGTCTGTCTGGCCCAGCATGGATGATGATGAAGAGGAGGCTGGGGCAAAGGTGGACAACACCTTGGCCTCAGACAAAGCTCCTGCACCCCCAGGGAAGGGGTCTGCACCAGAATCCAGTCTAATCACCTTTGAGGCAGCTACCCCAAAGCTGTAACTCCAGACCACCTTGAGTGTAGCACCTCCTCTCCCAAGCACCTTCTGATACCCTGGAAGGCTACACAAGATACTCCAGGGCACCGGCCACTCTGAGGAGAGAGAAGAAGGCCTGCTGGGGGTTTCCATGGCCTTCTGCTGTTTCTCACCAACACTACCCAGGATGTTCTTACCTGGTTTCAACTCCAGACAACCACTATGCCAGACATGGGGTCCCTGAGGGCATCAGCCAGTCCAGGCCCCATCTGAGGTAGACTGTACCTCATCAGACAGCCCAAAGCAAATGGCTGAAAGGACACTGGTGCCACAGCTCCTGGGACAGCCCTTACATCTGAAACTGGTTGCTGAGGCCCTGAGCCAAGGCAAAGATTTGCCAAATATGTTCTGGGGGCCCAGCTAGTGCAAGGCTATACATCCCAGCCAATCCCCAGAAAGACTGTTCATGTTGGGATTTCTTGTTTCCCTCTGCTATGGCTGTGACGGCATCCGGATCAGTACAGCCACAGTTCCCAGGTATTTTCTACAGGACCATTTAAACAGGCAGCCAAGCCCAGCGTTGCAGTATCAATAAAGCAGTTCTTTGAGGTATGACTCCTGGGCCCTGTCAGGCCACCTTGTGCAGTCCCTTCATTATCATACTTAGCTGCAAAGTTAGACAGGAACTTTATTCTGGTTTCAAAGGCTCAAACTCCATGGTGATTACAGCTGGATAAGAAGCCCATTACCCCCACTCCCCTTCCCCTACATGCTGACTGCCAAGCACCTTCGCAGAACTGTCACCTCAGACCTTTTTATCCCCTCTCTAATCCCCAGTCAGGGTGGCCTTCTGCCCCTGCCCAGATGCTCTAATGACTGAGGGCCTCTCTGTCATAAGGAGTTGTTTGTATCCATGGTTCACCTTCAAGACAGAGTGCTTGGTGTCTATGACACCTATGGAGACAACCCATGCCCAGCTCCCATCCTGTCACTGTGTCTATGTATTACCACAGTCTAGAGACTCCAGCATAGCAAGTAGCTGGGAGATGGAAAGAACACATAGCTGCATCATTCACCACTACAGTTCTAGAGCCTGCTAGAACCCTGGGTGTCATGGGAGGCTCACTAGCCAGATGCTGGAGATTTGTACTAAGAGAGCTTCAGCCCTTCTTTGAACCAGGAACAGAAAGGTCCCCATCTTGCCCAACTGTTTTGTTTTCTAATGCTGATGTCATCAACAAAACCATCCCTAATTCTGGGCTGCTCGTCCCATTGGTCTTTTCAGTCTTTTATTTTTTTGTCCTGAAATTTCTGGACATTCTAGTACAAGTATTAGCTGCATTGCTGAGAGGCAGTCTCACAACCCAAACTTCATCCAGATACATGATCCATATGTTCTCGGATAATGGAGACAGAAGGAAAAGGGAGATACTCCAGCATAAGAGGCAAAAATACCACACATGGGTCTTCTCCTACCCTTGATTGATCCAGTGCCTGAGGTGTCTGAGTCAGCTGAGAGAGTCCAGGGGTT